CAACTTTTTGAAAAATTAATCCAGGGATACTGGATTACTCTATCGTCTTTATTTTCTCAATCACAGAGAAAAATTATTGGTCTTTCAACTGCATTCCAGGCTGGGAGCCACTTCTGAAGTATGTTTGAGCCCAACCACTCATTGGTATTTAAAGTAATAACATGGGCCTAGTTGCCAAAGTACTAAGTGTGAACTGCTATCGACTTCAAAACTTCTTGTGCAGGAACAACAAACACAACTTAAAATAAACATACACACAAAAACTAAAATCTTGAGGTTGTGTTTTCAATGTGAATCTGCTGCCCAGAAGTTGAAGTTATGTTCTTAATCTTACGTGTAGCCCCACCTACAAGGTTATTTGTAACAAAAAATATGTTCAGAATTTTAACCCAGAAACGCGTTTCTCTTTATCAGTGACATCTGTGACTCCATGACTCTAAGAGTATATGGCTACAAAGGCATTTAAGCAGCTCTTGCAAATATGGTAAGGCTCTAGCCTAGTCTACTAGGAGCAGAAATGGGTGAACGGATCCATTCTGTAGTTGGTCCAGCGCTTGATACATACAAAGCACCCTACATGCCCACACAGAACCTGTTAACTGACAGGATATACAAGGCATAAAAAGAGAAGAATGTGAAAGATAACCTTAAGGTTTCAAGCCTGGAGGGCTGGAAGAAAAGTAAAGTCTTTGCCAATTAGAGGGTAATTGGAAGATAGTGTTTTATGTCAATATGATAATACCCAAAAAGCAATTAAAATTAACAGATTTAGTTGGGGGTCAGAGCTGGAGATGTTACTCTAAGAATCACCCCCGTATATAGACCTTGAAAGCTAATCCCAGAAACTGTGAAAGAACAAAGAAAATCAAGAGAGAATCTAAGGGCCGGGCGCGGTGGCTCACGCCTGTAATCCTAGCACTCTGGGAGGCCGAGGTAGGCGGATCATTTGAGCTCAGGAGTTCGAAACCAGCCTGAGCAAGAGCGAGACCCCATCTCTACTAAAAATAGAAAGAAATTAATCGGACAACTAAAAATATATAGAAA